AACAAGAAGCGTTTTCCTGCTGTAAACCCCTTTTAAACAATTGCTCTGGTCCCCCACGATGAAATGAAAAAATTCCCAACCTAAATCATAGAACGAATCATGGAATTACTGAATCGTTTGGGTGGGAAGATAAAGGCATCTAGTTCCAAGGCCCTGCCATGGGCAGGGACACCTTCCACTAGCCCAGGTTGCTCCAAGCTCCATCCAGTTTGGCCTTGGACACTCCTGACAACTTGTGCCCGTGGGGTTTTATCTCACAGAGTAAATAAACCTTTGGCTAAAACACCTTCCCAAGCCCTTTTCCCCACCCTGTTGCTGTGCAATCTCAGCTCCTCCCAGCCTCTGTCTGCCGACTGCACTGAGCGAGCTGGGAATTGGCCTCTCCTTCCCTGACATGGATCCCTCCAGTGTCAACAAGCCGAGGGGGGTCAGCGATGCCACCAGCAAAGAGCAGCACTCCAAGGGCTGAGTGCTGAACAGGCTGCCCAGAGCAGGGCTGTGGAGTCTCCTTCCCTGGAAACAGCCAAGGCCATCTGGACACAACCCTGAGTAACACGCTGAGGGGAGGTGGAGGGGAACGCCTGCCGAGCACAGGTTTCTCTGGGAAGTGGTTGTGTCTCCGTGTTTCTCATGGAGCAAGGCCAAGCATCAGGAAAAAATGCAAGCAAGAGGCAGCAAGGGCAGAGGTGCTTCAGCAGGTGTAAGAATACCGGTATTTAGCTCAGTGGAACTTCACAAAAAATGGAGATCAGGAATGTACTGGTTGGTTTTGCACGACTGGTACCTGGAAATGGGTAATAATCTCCAAGCACAGCACACGACATACCTTTCCATGGTCCTGCACTTGGCAGGGACTGCACAGGGTGTTCTCACAGACCTCCCAGCCTGAGGACTCATTGTTTCTGTGCTGGGAACTTCCTGAACCGTGCGGACACGGGAGGCCGCAGGAACTATCTCTTGGCTCCCGAACTGCGAATGGACACCGAAGGAGCACCTCCAACCCGGCCTTCGTTTCACAAGGATCGCGGTGATACACAGCGGGGTAACTCAGCCTCTAATATAGTGGAGAAATGGGGAGTTTACAGGCTCAAGGCATGGAAAAATCAATCTTAAGAGAGTGGCTAAAATTACAAGCTACCTAAGTCCCTTCACAGAATGACTGATAACATTTGAGCCTGGCCCGAGCAGCTGGGCACCCTGCAAGCCAGCAATGGGATGTTTCCCAGAGTATTATGGAGTGATCTAAGAAACTAGTGGCAAGTTGGTTACAGGTCCAGGAAGCTTATCCTAGAGAAAGTTGCTTTTGTATGATTTGTTCAGTGACAATTTGTTTGTTACTTCTAGAAGGTTGTTTTACCCCTAACAATACTTGAACCTTCTTCACTAAAAGCTTTTTTTATCCCCACACGCTTAATATTTTACAGCAATCCCACCAGTGTGTCCCAGGCAGAGGCTGGAATGGTTCCCATTGTTGGCCTGAAGTGCTCTTCCCTTGACACCCAATAAATACACGCTAAAAAAACAAACAAACAAAAAATCCAAACAAACAAAAACTAAACAAAAACACATACAAAAACCCCAAAACAAACAAACAAAAACAAAAAACACAAAGGAAAAAAACTACGGAGCTGACAAGTCTTTCAGGTGCCCCACACAGATGTGAACTCCTTTGCCTTTTTGGGGAAAAACGTGAAGTCAGAGTCCCTGTCCCTCATAAAGTGTCATTCCTTACCCATTCCTTTCTCCACTGCTCCATCTGCTTTTGTACGACCGCTCTGAAAGAGACAAACAGGGAATGATGTATGTATGGGGTTTATTTCTAACCTCCATCTTCCCACAGGTTTGGGAAGCAGCAGCACAAGGAAGAGGCAGAAGCTGCAGCCCGTGGCAGAAGGGGTGGTCAGCCTGGCAAGGAGGCCTTAAACAAGAATGGGTAAGACTCCCGCACCTGAGTAATGAGACCCAGGAAAAAAACCCTATCAATCACACTCCAATTTCATATCATTTTATCTACAGAAAACAAACCACAGTATTTTTTCCCAGTAAAAGTAGTGCAGATTTTAATTCGTGCATCTTCTCGTCACGCCTTTTTTTCGGCATCGCTGAGAGACCCAACACTGCACCTTCTCCCAGACCACCAGACACAAGGGGCTGAGCCAAGAACAACAGAAAGGACCAGCCAGATAAACATTTCTTTCATCAGGAAGCTCATGTGGGAGCTCACGGTGTTGACAGGTCTTATCTGCAGTGAAATCAAAGGACCAAACTTGGAATTCAGCTTGGAAACGTTCCCTGGGGCGGGTCAACCTCCACCTGGAAGCCAGGAGAGCCCAGTGGACATCTGGGGTCCACAGGAACAACCCAAACCTTCCACACGAGCACTGGGATGGAGCTACTGGGGGTTATGCCATCCCCCAGGCAAGTTACCCAGCAAAGGAGTATCAGGAGGGTGGGTAAATGCCTGGCATCCTCAAAAACTCCATGTACAAACCCCAGAAAGACACGCTGCTCTGAAGAAGAAAGATACAGAAACATCTAGAAAAGAGAGACATAAAAGATTGGAAAAGCAGGGCACAACAGAGAAGAGCCTCATAAATATGGGCAAATTCCTTACAGAACTCTACTTTTTACATATACATTTGCTGTCTTTCTGACACAGAGTTTTCTCAGCGGGCATCTCCTGGTGCTGAAAAACTCTTATCCTTGCTCTAGATCTCACAGGAGCCAAAGAGGGGAATTTATTTCAAGCCTGTATCTGAGATTGCTTCTTAAAACTAAGCAGCAGAGATGTGATAAGCAGGTTGTTTGTGACTGGAATGAGAACATTTTCTTCCTTTCAAGCCACCCCAGGAATTCAGTGCATCTTTCTGTAGTGAACCTGGAAAACCGAAGCTTTAGCCACCCTGTGAGAAATATGAGTAACACAAAGACATCCAAGAGGATGCAGCTCACCTCCAACAAGCCTCCCAGTCACTGTCTTCTGTCCCTCTCCACCTCTGCCCCTTCTGAACACCTGATGTAATTCTGCATTGTGCTGTAAAACCAGCACAGATAAAACACAACATGTTGTTTGTATCTCTCCTGAGTTAATTATTACACTGCACAGCCCCATCGGTTCAACGCCGTGTCAGGCAAAATGGGACAAGGAACTCTTCCTGATTTCAAAAGGAACAGCTCATTTCCACCTCCAGCCCTCTGTGATTTCCCAGTCTCATTCCAACTGCTTATTTTCCACAAGGCAAAGTGCCTGTACCTTTGTATTTAGCTCCATTATCCTACTAAGTAACCTGCCAGCTTCAGGAGGTCTCTTCTTCAGGATTTTATTTTTTCAGACTAGAAGCATAGGTAATAACTTGAAATGTTGAGTTTCAGCTTGTCCCAGGTGATTCTTAAATGTGTAGGAATGCAGTAAAGTTTAAAATAGTATCTAACTCCAGTAAACCTTTTTGTTATGTACGAATCAATCACAAGCAAAAGATGACCAGCAGACATTCACCACAGCAGGTAGTTGGAACTAGATGATCTTTAAGGTCCCTTCCCTCCCAAACCTTCTAACACCCCAGGACAGGTAACTTTATTTTGAAATCCTCATAGTGTTACAATGAATTGTGACAACATTCTCTGCTTCATAAAAAACCAAAACCAAACAAACAAAAAGGGAAAAGAAAGGCAGTGAGAATCCCATGCCTGAAACCACCACTGCAGCACAGCTGGAACGTTCAAGGTTTGCCTGTAGAAGTAGCCTGGAATTTAAAACTTTCAGTAACATTCATGGAAAACTACAAGAAGCAACATAATAAAGCCAGTTTAAAGTGTGTACCTGCAGGAGAATCCCTGGCATCATAACCTGGGGGTTACAGAGGACAAGGCTCTGAGAACCAGAAAAAACACCACTGTGGGCTTTAGATTATTTGACTGCCAAAAACCTTGGTGTTCACTTGTAACCAACCACAGTCTATTGTTTCTTGCTCAAGTCATCACTCCTCACCAGTCTCAGCTCTTACACCCAGACATGCCATTACTCCATTAAAATAGAATTATACTAACATTACAAAGTCAATTAATGCTCCACGCAGTGTAATTATGCTCTGGTTTTAGGGTGATGGTTGCTTTTTGTTTAGGAGAGAAAACACACTCACACCCCTAAATAAATGAGGTTTAGGCCACTCAAAGGTGTAATTTTCATTAGGATAAATAAACCCCAAGTGTGGTATTTACCAAGGAGTGAATACAGTTTAAGACTGTCTTCTCTGTTCAATGCACAATAACAGGAGAGTTAAAACCTCAGGTTCATTGCTGTGATGGAGCCTGGAGTTACACATGTATTTTTAAACACTTTTTTTTCCCATTCCTTGAGCAATGTGGCTGATTTCAACACTGGCTGGGCACCAACACCAATCACTGCTAAATCCTGTGTCTTAGAGCACAGGAATATGCACTTGCTATAGCAAAGAGAGAAGTGAAATCACAGTATCAGTTCATACCTGAACAAGAAAGTTGAAACACAACTGGTATTTCTTTAGAATGAGGTGGGTCAGACACATCAGAAATTTGGCAATACAGTTAAAGCAGCAACTGCCTCTTCCTGCAACAGAACTGCAGCGTGTTTGTATCTACAGAAACTATCCAAAAAATCCATCACGTCATCCAGCATCACTGGGAGAAACCTTTTAGTTCTGCTTTTGAAGAAATAACATGTACAGGTTAAAAAAACCACTTTGCCAGGGATGCCCAGAAACTTAAAAAAAATTTGAACTGCCTTAGAGGAAACTAGTTAAGCATTTTGCCTTTCAATGGATTCAAAGCTCTACAGGAAACACATCTCCATCCAGAAAAAAATAATGATTTCTGATTTCAAATATCGCCCACCACAGTATATACCTTTTGAGAAAAATCATGTGCATCTTAGTAAGCACCCACATTTATGTCCACACACACACACCAGGTGCTTTGAAACAACCACCACTCAACTGAACAAAAACATACTCCCAGCCACAGAATTTCTCTATTAAATCCATGTTTATTGCTTAAGTTTTATCACAGTGGAGATTAAATTATGCTTAATCATCCGGTCAGTGCTTTTGTACCTTCTTTAATGCCAAAAAAACACCCCTCCCCCACATTTGAACCAAGTCATTCATACACTCGAAGTCTTCTCACCATCCCACCACTCATCGCCTCTGTGTGCTCCTTTAGTTGCCACGAACTGCAAGATTGTAAAAAGGAATAGCTACTAGGCTTATTTATAATACCATTTTCTTCAAGTATTCGGAAAGCAGTACAAGTAGCTGTACTGTGCATTAGAAACGTATCTGCACTGTTATTTTATTGCTCTAGGACCGAGGCTCCTGATGGAATGGCAAGCGAAATATTGCATCACTGTGTATGAAGATGAGCTCAGCATCCCATCATCATTTCCCAACTCCCGCCGTGTTAGTGAGCGACACCGGGTAAAAACGGGCGTTCCTCCCTTTTCTCCTTCAAGGCAATGGGATCTCGAACTACGAATAAATAAAGCGTACACTCACAACGTGTGTAGTGCAAAATTCCAAGTAAACAGAATGACATGGAAATAAAACTCATAGTTGCCAACTTTGGTCGAGCAAGGCGGTGGCGGCGGCGCCACCGCGCCCGGAGCGCATCCCCAACCCTCGGAGCGCAGCCCGGCGCCGGCGTCCCGTGTCGGCCACAGTGATTGGAGGAGATTGTTGCGGGGCCGGGGTGGGGGGACACACGCACCGCCACCTCCTCCCCGGAGCAGCCGCCAGGCTTCATCCCACGCCCGCCCGCGGCGCGCAATTCCCATTGGCAACTATGCGGAACGTGGATTGCGTGGGCCCAGACTAATGGAAGGGAAGATTTCTTGGGTGGGTTTTTTTTTTTTTTTTTCTTTTTTTTTTTTACAGATACAACCATTGAAAGAGAAAACAGCTACAACATTGCGATTCCGAAAGAACTTCATGAGAATTAACATTCAACTCTGGGGGGTTGTGGGATGTTTGCAGTGGGTTGGTTGGTTCCTTTTTAAACAGAGCCCAAGGAGTGGTTCGACTCTGCACAGCTCTGGGCCATTACAAAACCTCCTGCACGAAGCACAGGGATAGATTTTCTTATTTTTTTTCTTTTGTTGTTGTTGTTGTTTAGTTTGTTTTCTTATCTATGCAAATCTACTTCCCACACAGCTGTATTTCAAACTGGAACAGAACTCCCTAATATTTTTGTGGCATAAATTACATTATGCAGAGAAAGGCAACAAATGAAATTTTGTCTAAATTAAAATTAGGACCTACTGTAGCCTTGCTCAAGACCCTTTTCTCCAAAGTACTGGGAGTGAGCAGAAGAGTCATGCAGCTTCATCAGTAAAACAAGTACATATTTTTGCCATTTTTCTTCAGTGCTCAGTAAGAGTATTGCTTTTTTTTGTTTGTTTTTTAAAGGTCTGTGTTCTCTGTCGGCAACTTGCTATTTCCTGCATAAAGACTGGGAAAAACTTTTTGTTTTAAACAGCATTCTTACACAACTTGTTGAACCTTCAACGAAGGAAACACAGAACTAGAACTAGAGTTCTCTCAGCTAAAAGGATGGACATATTAAAATAATAAAAAAATAAAAGGAGAACACCTCTGCAAATAAAAAGAAACCTCTCCTCATTTGGGACACACACATTGAGCTTTTAAAAAACTCAAAATTCATAAATATGGTCATCGTATAGAACTTTTAGAGAATTAAGGCTTCTAAAAACTTCAGTGCCAAAATAACCTCTCTGCATCAGTATTAAGAATAAAACATTTTCCATTTTAGGTTGTGCTTGCTTGCTCCTTTTTTTTTTTTTTTTAAAGACTTCTCTTAGTTCCGCAGAATTTTGTCACATAATATTACATACCGAAGGGGAGTGTTAGAACTGCTTATTGAGGTTTGGTTTTTTTTTGTTTTGTGGGTTTTTTTTTTTTAAGTAGTGGTTAGGCTAAGTTACAGCGATAAAATTCGATTACTGATCTGATTCGTTACTACTTTACACGGGGGGGGCCGTTGGCTCATTTCACCTTCTTTTCATGCTTGATGTGGCCGTTCCTGCGGTACTTGCCGTTGGGGATCCCGTTCTGGTAGTGTCCGTTCACGGCGCTGTGCTTGTCGTTCGACCACAGCTGTTTGCTCTGCTTGCAGACAAACTTGGCCAGCCTGGCCAACACATAGTAAAGTAAGGCAGCACCCACTAGAAGGACAAAGGCAATATCCAGTAAGAAATACTGAAATAGGGAGATGCTGTAAACAGCGGCACGTAGATGTTGGGCTCCGTTGTGGCGGAGGATGTAGTTAATCCAGTACACAGTCCGGTTCACGGGGTGGCCAGGCTGGTCCTTGTGGATCTCAGACAGCCGCTGCGCCCGCTGCCGGTAGCTGGAGGAGAACAAACAAGGAAGGGGGAAGAAGGGAAAGGGAAAAAAAAAAATCACCACGTTATGCTATTGTGCAACTGAAGGGCTGGAGAAATGCAGGAGAGCGAGACACCTGGCTCTGGTTTAGCAACAGACCATTTCTGCTCTCGGCCAGCCCGGAGTTTCACCTAAAACTTTTCATTTTCACCCCAGCCACTCATCGTGTCAAATTCCTCCTCTCCTCCCTGAAGGGTCAGCAGGCTGTGCATGCAGGACTTGCCTTTTCACAAGGGTAATTGCACAAGGGAAAGGTGATGCAACTGATGTTATCGAGGTCTCTCTGTCCACATCACCCCTCACTGCCCCTCTGCTGCTCAATCCCTACAGGATTCTCCTTCCCCAGGGCAAGCACCACTTGAAGACTCTGCTCCCAAGAAAGCAAGAAGCATTAACAGCATCATCCTCCAAAGTCAGGGTTAGCCAATACGATATACTGCCAGCTAACACCTCACTACTTTTCAGCTGGAGGTGGTCTCAACAAAGGTGTTTAAAATTGAACACTCAGAATCAACTCGTGAAGTGACTCTCCTCACACAAGGATTGCTGGAAAAACTTATTTGCTGGAATTAGAAAGGATTCTGAAACTCACCTCACAGGCTTGCACTTACTCCCCTGAGTAACAAAAAAATCAGACTGGAGTCCTCCTTCATAACAACTTGTTAAAGTATTGTCATTGCAAAATGACAAATGGACAAATTTTTGTGAATGCAAAATGACAATCCCAAACTTAAGACAGGTATTACTAGCTAGAATAGGAAAATATTTGATTTTTTTTTTTTAAATCAGATCATGGGACTTAAGAGTCACTCTTGGTGAATACCTCCCTCTTTAAACTACAACCCAAGTCGTGTATGTATCTTGCTGCAGGCCTCTGACAGCCAGACTGGTAATAAGGAATAATCCAGACAGACACAGTGAGATAAAATAATATTGGTCTGCAATATGCAATAAGTCAGGACAGGTTTGCTTCCATAACCTCTCTGCCCTCAACATGGCTAGAGCCCCAAAAAGCAAGTAAGACAGCTGAGTTTTGGTAGTGAGCAATGAGCCCAGCACCTACACAGAAACCTCAACCCTGGGTAACAGGACAAACAGCCAGACCTACTCCAGCTGTACATACAAATAAAACCCAGCATGCAGTTTTTTCCCCCACTGCACAAAGGTTTGGTCTAGTCGTACTTAACCCGCAGAAAATCCCTCGTGCCATACCTGGGATCATTAATAACTTTCACTAGGGCTTCATACAGTGCATTCTCAGTCATAGTCTTCCAGTTGAGCAGTATTCCCATGCCTTTGGCCTGGACACGGGTCATGGTATCGTAATGGTCTCCAAAAAGGGGGATCCCCACCACCGGGACCCCGTGGTACATGGTTTCAAAAATGCTGTTCAAACCCCCATGACTAAGGAAAGCTTTGATGTTGGAGTGACCTGAAAACAGAAGAGGCGTTGAAGGTTAAAGGACATTTATAGCTCCTTATCCTAAAGTTACTGAAGCACCTGGGTACAACATATCTGTCAGTGTTTCTGTGGCTGAAACTCAGGCAGGGCAAACTTGTTCTGAAGTTATCCCTAAGCCCATTCTGCTGAAATTCCTCATCTATTAAATCACTTCCTTATACACTGTGAAAGGGAACAGCCAAAGCAAAGAAAGTTCTCATGTATATGAGTCACGCAAAATGATTAATGGAGTAATTAATAAGCACTTCTCACTCACGAGCAGCTGCAGGTGGTGACCACAGCAGGTTTAGCAGCACAAGCGAGTGAGGGAGAGCACGTTTGAGGATGAAATACAAGATATTAAAATGCAGGACAACTGATGTTATGCTCTCTCTAAGGCCTCCCATGCCTTACTTCAGGCCAGCAAACACTGACAACCGCAGTGACAGCCCCATGGAATGGAAAAATCACACTGCCTCGGAGCACTTCTGTAACCAAAACAATCCACCTGCTTTAGAAGTCATTTGCCTAATCACCACGTTATTATAAATACTCCAGCTGACACACAACACACACACTGATGTTTAATGCATTCATCAGCACCCACTGGAAGTGTTTTGGGAACACACAAACACCCAGGTATCCCAGAGACAGCCGGAAACATTCCGTGGCCTCTCTCTGAGCAAGGGACTCAGCTATCATCCTGAAACCCTAATTCTAGATCCTTGCTCTCTGCCTTGCATGGCAGAAGCAATCCTGCCTTTATAATAACTGCTCATTCAGCAGAACATTTTTAGCAGAGCAAACTGAAGCTGAGTGAGAATAAGCAGTGTCTGATCAAAACGGATACTCACCCAGCAGGTCGTTCTGCGGTAACCACTCAATCAGCTTCGTGTTGTTGCCTAAATTCCTTGGTTTGTTCCCTGAAAACCTAAACCAGTGAAAATCAAATGGAAGCTGGAGTTAGCAAAACCTCCAAAACGACTACTACAGGACAGAGCTGTTCTGTGGCTGCTCCATCGACCCACTCAAATATTCTGTGTATTGGAGAGCATTAGAACAGTTACTTAAAAAATCACCTGCACATTCTCAATTAAGCAAGACTTACTCAGGACTGGCTTGTACATTCTGTATGTATTATTAGAAGGTTATTTACACTACATTATAGAAAAGCAACTAAACTGTTACTGGTTTGGGCTCCATAATCTGAAGGGTATAAAGACCTACAAAGATCTCCCTGATTTATGATGGTGACATAAGACTGCCAAGCTCTACTGCCACCTCTCTCATTCCCAGAAATATCCTGCCTAAATCCACCTGTGTCCAACACAGACGTGGGTCAGTGATCTAAACAACAGAAGTGAACCCAACCCCCTCAAAAACTCCAAGCCATGTTTGACTGGTAATATTTAGATATTTAATTATGGATCTCAAATCCTCACTGGGGTGGACTGACTGCTTCTCCCTCCCAAAGACCATGTCTTGCACCTTGTCCCAGGGACATCTTGCCATTTTATAAATCATGATGGAAAGAAACAGTAGGTGGGTTCCCTCATCCAAAAAGCCATTCAGCAAATCATAGCTTGCAAGTAACCAAAAAAAAAAAATCCACCATAATGGCAAAGCACTAAGGAAACACTAACAAAAAGCCCTATTTAATAGAACACTTCAACTGAAGTTGTTTTTGCATTAAAAAAAAGCTATCCTCAAGAGAAAAAAATCTGTTAAAATTGACTGACTTACTAGAAAAAAATGGATACTTGTACAGAGAAATATTCCAGGGAAAACACAATGAAAGGACAGAAAAGAAAAGCAGCAAGATCAACTGGGACCAATAATTAATTGGAAGCCAAGCAAAGAAAACGTAGTGGCTCTCCCCCAAACCAAAACTGATGCAAATCTTTACTACAACTACCACAGGTTCTGTGCCACAGGCTGAAGAATTCCCATTTTCCTGTTCATTAGTGGGGTTGGCTACTTCAGTTACACACAGCAGTGAGGCCATTCCTTAAGAGATGGCAGGGAACAGGTTGCTAAATAGCCTGTTAATACAACTCCAACAGCAGGGCAGCGAGGTGGGATGTAAGACACTGATTATTTAGAAATAAATGGTTCACATTAACTCCTCCAAATTAATCACTGATGCTCCATGTGAAGCAGAGCTGACTAAACAATTTTGGGGTTTTTCCAGTGAGCTGAGAGCACCACTCAAGATGCCTTCAGAGCTGAGAACGCTTATTACTGATTCTGACTCCTGCAGATTTCTCTTCCTCCAATTCCTCAGGAAAAAAAAAACAACAAACAAGTGAGAAAATCAATAATGAAAGCCTGTGTTCACAGATGAAAGTGGAAAAGGAGCCTAAAAAAGTGAGGGTAAAGGGAAAGAAGAAGAAGAAAACCTAGGATATAATAATCAGGATTCACTCTTGAGCCCCAGGGTGGCTTTTTTATCCAAAATGATGACAGTATGTCACAGATGTTATAACCTTGGATTCTTTTCACTGTCCTCAATCCTTCCAGGATATCAACTCAGCACAGGAACGTAACCCACGCTTTATTCTGCCACAAAAACCACTGCTCCCCCTTACTGCCAGGGAATTGCACTATTTCCACGAGGAGTGTCCTTCAGCAGAGGCGGGTCCTCTGTGCCACGCAGGAGGTGCCAATTCCAGCCTCGGTAACTCCAGGTTCAGATGGCACAGTGGGAATGAAGCCTGGTGCGAAGCACCCCAAGCACCTCCCCCGCTGCACTCACCTCCAAATAACCCTCTGGGGCAGCCTGGCCAGGGCATGTGCCAGCTTGTTAGCGATGTCTTCAGACAGGTACTTCACTCCGGCCCCAAAGGAGACGAGCACAAAGCCGTTCTCATTAGCACCATTCACCCACGCCTGCAGATCCTGGGGAAGGGAAAACGGACACTGAGCACCACACAGGCAAAGCACACAAACAGGGAGTAAACAGGGCTGAGGAAGAACGGTTGTGGGCTCCTCGGTTGCTGCACAAGCCAAGTTTCAGGAGCTGCAAACATTCCAGAAGTCACTGGGAACAATGACTGGATGATTCAGAATCCGTGGCACAGGCCACGAACAGCAAAACCATTCCATGTTTGTTTTAGCTTCCATATTAACCACTAGTGATTTCAGACAATCTATCCCTTCTTCACTGATCAGTTGACACACACTCTAACAAATTAACATATCACATTTTAACTCAGCAAAACGGGAAGAGATCCACATCGTAGTCAACACATCCGTGTCGTAGGATCAGCCTAGAAGCACCGCCCAGGGAATGTGTGAATGAAGCTGGGACTTGGCTGTGGCATTTTCAAGCCTTTAAGAAAGTCAGAGCACTTCAAAAGCCTTGTTTTGCTTTCCTTTGTACGAAAATAATAAACACAATTTGAAAGAAGCCGGAGGTCCAAAACACACTTTCAGTTTGCAGTACGTGAAGAGGGGAAACAAACAAAATGACCCCACAGACACGCAGGCCTATGAGTAGGATGAAGAATATTTTGTCTTTCTCGGGACACGGTTCAATTCTGGTCACACCAAGTTGTAAGCACAAGCCTGCTCAACACCAGTCCAGCAATAGGAAGTGAGCAAAGAGAAAATCAAGAGCCCTGTTCACAATGTGCCTCTTGTCCTGGGAATAAATAGCAGGGCAGGCAGGAACGGAGTAACGCCGTGCTATCGGATCCCAGCACAAAACCTGCCCCCCAGAAAAACCCTCAAAACCCAGCACGTTACACTGCTCTCTGCTCTGCAGCAAAAAAACATTCCCATCTTCTCTACAATCCACACTTCGCCCTTTTCCACTGTACTCTCTCTTCCTATTTTTTATTCATGTGAAGGCAGAGGAAGGAGGGAAAGGAGGGGAAGTGGCTGTGACCTGCCTCAAAGCTGAATCATTTATTAGGGGCTGAACTTCTGACACAAAAAGTTTCCAAGTGGTTTTGTGATTTATTTAAAGCTCGTCCTTGAATCTGTTAAGGACCTAAGGCATGCTGCAAATGTCATTGAATTTCAGCAGCTGGAATAGTTCAATTAGTTACATCTTAAGCCATTTCTTATCAGTTTAAAGCTCAAGAGAAAATAACTTTTTGTGGGCTCTGGGACAAACTATTCTGGAAAGCCCAGCATGTCAGCCTTGACTGGTAAGGCTGGCCTTTGGATGGAGCAAATAATTCCAGAGGATCCCGGCATCAGGATGTCCTACCTGTGATTACTTCTGCTTGGTCAGGCACGTGGCTTTCTGCTGCTAGAGATGAGCCTGTTCTAGCTGAGAAACTGCTCCCAGGGCTACTGCTCCTCTGTGCTTAATTAGAAATTCTGTGAGACTTCACAACTCTGATGTATTCGCAAAGTAAAAATCATACTTCATTATGTATACATAGAGGAGGTATAAAATATTTCCTTGTAATGGAATTTCTAAAATAGCATTCAAAAATCCCCATGTACATTAACAAATAGCTAATAAGTACTTTGAATTTTATGGATGGGGGGAAAAAAAGCAATTTTACTGTGTTCTTTAGGACCAGAGATACCTGCAAACAGGATTTTGCATTTTACTACTGTGTAACAGCAAAGCAACCTGCTTTGTGTTATTAGGGCTGGTTTCAGAGCCAAACCTCTGTAATCCTTCCCTTTGAAGGTAATCCCACGGCTTCGGTGGAATATCACGTGCAAAGGTGAACTTCAAATCTTCAAATTCACAGGCAAGATCCTGCCATCAGGCTCAAAAGATGGGATTTGTTTGTTGCATTAAATAGGATTACATTAATTGCTTACCTGCCTCCTGATCTGCAGCCCCTTTCCAACCTGCTTCCCCAGAGGGGTGCTGGACATCACTACTGTGCACGGGCTGTTCAAAATCAACTACACACTTGTCAGGGTGAGGGCTCTCCTCGCATACTTCTGTGTAACTCCTGGCACAACACAGCCTGGATTAAAGGGGACCACTGAGTGTCACTTGAAACGCAGGAGTTGGGTAAAAATCAGGAAATGGAAAACGGGGAACTTACACTGACTGCCTCCTTGGAGAGCTCCCCGAGTCCATGACCTGGCTGAGTCCATTATTCTCAGGTTCCTTTAACTTCTGATCATTGTTTCTCCTGACAGCTTTTTAGCACAGACTTTCTACACTGAAGATCAAGTGACAGCGAATCCAAGTGAGGGGCGTTCACAGGCCTTTGGTTTTACGACAGATCTGAACGTCCTGGTACAAATCAGCTGGGCCACGGCACAAAGGCTCAGTATTTCCTTGTACCTTCCTTGTTCTTTGTGTGACATACAAGGTGCAGCAGTGATACAGCAGATAAGAAGCACGCTGTGCTCTTGGCACATCGAACAGACTGAATACTTCGACAGCACTTACTACTAGAGCTGTGTATTTCATTTTATTTTGCAAAGTTAGGAACATAAATGCGGGAAATATCAGCTTGCAGTGATGCTCCCAGAACCTTAACATTGGAAGAGCACACGCTGATGGCTCAGGACAACCTTGTTTGCTTAAAGTTTCAGCAGCCTTCAGTCACCTTGCCACTCATTAGGGCCATATTAACCCAAACACCATCCTCGATGAATCCACCTCCCTCTAAAAACCCTCACAGACACCCAAGTCACCCCCTATGAGCTCACCCCTTTCTTCTCCTTAAATCCACTTACACTTTTGACCTCCAGCTCATTCTGCCTTCCCGATCTAATTACGCTCTGGATGAAAAGGCCCTGAGTCAGGCTGATGAGTCATTAGAGCTGCCCTCATTAAAACCAGCCTGCCCTGTCCGGGCAGCACTTCACAGCTCCTGGCGTGCAGCAAAGCGACCTCCTTTTGCCCACTTGAAATGATTTTCAGGTTTACTGTAAACTCACGGGGATTTTTTTTTTTTTTTTTTTAAACACAGCGAAAGGAAATCACAACTTCTGAAGTCTAAATTACAGGAGAAGTCTGGGGAGGGAGGTTATTACATGACGAGTTGCATTGAGCCTTCCTCACACTCTGCTTCAAACTTTAACCGAATAGAATAGAGAAGGAAACACCTTTAACTTCTGCAGTTAATTCAAGACATGCCCTTCTTTAAAAGGTTTTCTTTCAGTGACTGGAACAGTCACTGAAACACTTTTTTTTACCCCCCCAAATATAAGTATTTGCAGATTTTCTTTCGAAAGAGAAGCCCCTGCCTCAGTTTAAGTCACAGTACAGCCAGCAAAGAGCTCTGCTGAGGCTGCACTGCCAACTTGACAAACTTACACCAGTGACTCAAACAGTCATCTGGCTTTCCCCTTCCAAGCCAGGAATCAAACCATAAGGAATTATAACCCCCAAAACCTCGATGAACTTGAAAGCAAAACTTTCAGTAGAAATTCTAACAAAAACTTAGATCAGCCACTCACAGAACTTGTGTACTTCATGTACATTAGAAGTATAATTATTCTCTGTAATTTCACACTGAAAACAAGCTGACACTAATCAAGCATTAAGCTGGATACTCGGGTTTTCCAGAAATTTTAAGACACAAAAATAGCTGAGAAGTCTGGGATTTGAGAGGTACTTGCCAAAATGACCTGAGTGAGGGAGGCTGTTTCGTCCAGACTGTGATGGTCAGTGGAGAGGCTCCTGCAGAGGATAACTCAGCACCTATGGCTGGACACACACCTTCCCTCACTGGGAACTTCCCACTTCAGAGGAGGTGGGCCCATAGGAAGGACAGCAAACCTGGCAAGCCTATTAGAGCACATTCAGGTTCTGTACTGAACTGTGAATGACATTTTCCAACTGAATTTTGGGTTTCGTCCAGTTACAGCTCTATCTACATCGACCATAAAATATCCCCTGACACATACACACACATTAATTACCATTTTCACTCGAAGCAATTCATACTAAGGTGTGAAAACCCAAGAGGGCTCCCAATTGCACCACTGTGCCCAACTCTGCCCGTTTCCATGCAGCTCCTGTGAAGATGCATGTTCTTGGGGGGAAATAGTGGAAGAGCCTGAGCCTCCACAGGGAGAAGAAGCACTTATTGATCTGTGCTGTACTATAGGCACGAGGGAGTGTGTGGGGGGGGAGGAATAAAGAAATAAAATCAATCTTTTGAGCATGCAGGGACAGCAATGCCATTGTGGCAGCCCCACTGTGTGGGCTTTGTTCTGCCTGGTTCTCTAATTAGCCATTCTTTGCAGGACTGGATGCTGGAGGCACAGCTGTGGCTGGAGAGCGAGGGCCCAGCTGGCAGTAACCAGTGGTGCCTAATACTGAGCTTTGTCTCGCATAAACAAAGTACACAAGTACAAACATAACCGGGTTTAATATCCGAGGCTTTGCCCTGTTCAGCTGCTCGATTCAAATGTGGAAGAGCACAAATGCCTGTTCTTCAAATATGGTTGCAAACCACCCTTTCCCCCAAGGGAGAGCACAGGCATCCCATGCAACTTCTCCTATGAAATGCTGCTTAGAGAGCAGACAAAATGAGATCTATTTCAAAATAAGAAGCCACGTTAAGCCATGTTTAGAAAGGGGGTACTGAGAAATAAACAGAAAGGTACACAGACCATTTTTACATTGGTGTCTGAACTTCCCTGGCATCTTCTAAACAGTACTTCTTCTGTGACATATTTCTCCAGGAATACATTTTTATTTCAAATTTTACTAGAACAACTCAGCAGCACAGGTGGTTAAAGGTCATGCAGATGCCATTATACAACCTTTGCTATCACAAAACAAACAAGATCACATCATATAATCTAGAAGTCACAAAACAACCAATCAGTCCACAGCAAACCCAGGGAAACACTATCCCTTGAGGCAAAGTAGGCTTTGTATTTACTTGCCCTGAATTTGTAACTCAGTTTACACCCAAAAACGGGAGTTACCTGCTCTAGGGAGCAAAGGCCATGGA